GGGTGGGAGAGATCTCATGCTGGCAAATTTGCTGTCTACTCGGAAGTCGCATTTATGAGGTTGTTTTCGTGAAGCAGAGCTCTTAATCACCTAGTAGTCCAGCTTTTCGCTCCACTTCACAATAACGAGAGGAAGCCCCGTTGGCCTCTTTTGTCTGCGATTTGTTTTTCATTTCTGGATTTCTTTTCAGTTAATTTAGCCCTCGTGATTTTTTTTTTGAGATAATGTAGTGGTCAATTGATGCTTGCCCAACACATCCTCCTCCCCGTAGAATCCGTTTGAGAAATTGTTTTTATATTTATAAACAAATTAGCAAGAGCATTGTTCTATGAAGAACGTCGGTTGACAAAGGCTGAGATACGGAAATTATATGCATTCCCGGGCATCTTAGGGCCCGAAGTAAAGCACCGAACCGAACCTACATGTACGTGATCGGAATGATACATTTTTCCGGTTTGGAAAGCATCCTTTCATTCCTTTCATGTTTTTCTTAGCGTCCTTGTTTATGTGCTTTCTTTCAAAGTATGATTGAAAGTCCTCCTTTCATGAAAATTCACTTTATTGAATTCGAGGTCTTAGATGGCTCAATACGGCTCAAACATGTGTTAAGGTACCCAAAGAAAGGAATTATGTCACCCATTCAAATAATTAAGTGTGTAACTAATATTAAAAAGCATGAAGGATAAGTGTAATCCAACGATCGATCACTTCTGAGAGATGCGCCCCTCATTCGACGTCCATTCAGAATCATAATAACGTTTTGTATATGGTCTATTTAATGACTTGCAGTGGCCATTCAAACCTGGTTCCAATTAGCGACCTCGGGATGTAAAAAGGTCGGTTAGTCTAGGCGGATGTCGATCTTGGATTCAAACCCGTGCCCATGAGTGTGTGATAGTGCGCCGCTTGCCACTGCACCACCACCGCGTAAAAATGTACATAAAGTTTTAAGCTCAATGATAGCAATGTAGAAGGTGGGTCTCCAGGAACCAATCATTATTATCCTCGCAATCCAAACCTACTCTCCTGTGGCAAAAGGAGACTACTTTAGCTTCAGTAGGATTCGATCTGCTGAATTGTTGTAGCTGGGTCACGTTTTTCTTACGCCACCTCAATGAGGCTCTTGATTAGAACCTTCTACTTCAATAATGAATGTTAACGCTGCGAACTCTTGCCGTAACTCAATTCAAGCCTATACTTGGGTTCCATGGACAGAACCAGTTCACATTTAACTATTTCAATTATACGTCTCCCTTTGTTACCGTTGAACGGAATGTGTCAAAAACCTGCATTCCACGGCAGACTCAAGCGGAGGTCTTTTCATGTCGGTGTTAACGCCTCTTGAACAGTCAGGCTGGGATCACATTCATTCATCTCTCCTAGACCCTCCTGTTCCCTTTACAAAGACATTCTCAAGTCTTTTCGTTGCTTTCGATGATTATTCGTACTCCTCACATCCTCTTTTGTAACTGATTCCGTCGCCTTAAAAAGATTTTTTAAGGATGGCCGAATTCAATGCGACAGCCTTTCTTACACAGCTAGATGCATTTGGTCGACCTCCACCTCCTCAAAAGCTGAACGAAGGGCGAGGAAATGTCGCAAAAGAACTGGCCACCAAACTCAACATGATCAATTTGGACAAACAACGGGTAATACCTGAAAACTTGAATTTTGATATCTTCGAAAAATACCGGATGCTTTGTACTTTACCGTCTGCTAATTGAATTCTGTTTTTGAGTTTCACCCTTCCCAACCCACCCACTTACCCTACCCATTCCCCATATGCTGTTCTTCCGGTTCCTTCAATAATTTCCCGACCTAATTTTTGGAGACATGATTCAAAACCCGTCGTTGATCAATCCGACTGGAATTGCACTTGTGCTCTGGACGTAAGAAAACTTTGGAGAGGGCTTGGGTCACGTACGGTAGCTAACAGAAGCGGAGCGGCAATCTTTTGTCCTCCCAAGAAAACTTAGCACTGCAATCATGTCCCTAGATTATATGAGCAGTCTCTGAGTACTTTGGCCACTGCAAGAGAACAAAGTGTCACGGCTAGACTCACCTACTAATGGATGTTTTGAGTTATTTAGTGGGCATTTAGTTTCGGAAAATGGAATTAATAATAAAAAATAAAAAATAAATAATAAAATAATAGAAATGGAATTAAGTTATCATAAGTTTCTCTTCTCCCTTACCCTACTGAAGAGCACGTAGGGAGAGTATTGTAAAGTTCGACTTCCGTCTAGGGCACGTGCGAAACGGAAATTTAACTACTTCTTTGATTTGTTCCCCCTTATATTTATAATACTTTGTCATAATATTATCGTTTGTAATAATTTATTAATTCTTGATGCTTGACGAGGCTCGAGAGCCTGGTTTTTCCTTTTTCCGCAGTTCTTTGCTTACCCGGTGTATCCCACTTCCAGTTTGAAAAATTGCCAATCGAAGTTTTTGAGTTTTCTCTCATTCCGAATAAACGAACTTGGTGTGGCCAGTAAATGGAATTCTTCGAAATGGTGACTTCTTCTCGATTTATGGCCACCGTTAAACACTTCTTCGGGGGAAGTCAAGTTGATAGGAAGGAAATGAATTGCGTGTGGCGAAGAATTGGAAGAGGCTGGGCTAGAAGAAAAGACAATTGAAAGAGCACTATCTAAGTGATGTTTCCTGAGAGATGGGCTGTTGCGGGAACCTTCCGAAACTAAGGGGTAGGAACAGTTCCGAGTTGAAGGTCCGGGGTAGAGTTAGGAGTGAGATTAGCTACTAATAAGAGGTTCTACATTGGTTGAAGGTATGTCTTTGTGGGTTCGGACCACAGAATAAGACCTACCCACGACTTTGAATGGCATCCATCAATCCCGTTTTGGGATGCGCTCAGGCACTCTACTTCTATTCGGAATCGCACTGGCATGCCGAATACCTACGTGGTCCATACAGTAGCTTGAGGAGGCCAGACGATGAGCATGTCACTAAGGCTTTTATGTTCCCAGACGAGTCTGGTACCACTTAGCCGACCGCAGATGGGTGGAATGCTTGGTTGGCCTGGGTAGATACGAAACCGTTGCCTTGCGTGTGTGATAGTGCGACTCTTTCTCCTAAACTACCTCCTCCCACAAACTATCACACGAACAGTTTTTTCTACATTGACTGAAAAAGGGGCATGTAAGCTGGGCCCCCAGAGGTAATTCGCCTCTTTATTTCCTTTGTTTTACTAACTTGCCTTCACATTAGAATACCCAGTACCGGGGTAGACTGAAGTTCTGAATTTACTATTCGATTCCCAGGCTTTTTTAGAAAAACTGTATTATTTCGTAAAACATGACTCGATCTAGACCATTAATTCCTTCTATACTCTTGTGTAAAGATTTATACGTACACATCATTACTTTTCCATTCCCAGTTAGGAGGTTGCCCATGCCATTCAAAGCTTGCTGGTTCCCCTTTTTCTGGGATGCATTAGTGAAAAAGGTGTTAAGACAATGTGAAGTGGGAAATTCCTTTCGGTACGCCACTCATGTGAACCGGTTTTTTGTACGAACAAACTTAATTAGCTGAAGGTAGCCGATCAAATTCTTTGTATGTGAAAAAGTGGTTGGGGGGAAATCTGAGAGCAGTTGGCGTAGCTGGCTGAACCGGATTGCACCCTAACACGAACTCTATTTCGGGAATTGACTGGCGGACGAACGAGTCGAGTCGGCTGCTGTCAAGTGGTTTTACAAGGATGCCTAGCGTTGCTCGGGATTCACCTACATCCCAAGTTCCTGCTGTCAACTACCCTTTGGGAACAGTACACTACTGGTCTCTTGAAATTACTCTCGATACTGCTTTATCATGGGGGTGTCCCCAAAAGTAATAGTCCCAGTAGATGATGTCGGACATGCAGGCGATTTCTTTTTTCCCATTCCTCGAACACTTCTTTGCTACGCTCTTATTTCCTCGTCCAGAATGCCGGCATTGGCGCCGGTTATCCTCGACTTTTTCAAAGTCTTCCGAAGGATCCTTTCTTCTTCTCCTTACTTATAGCAAATTTCTTACACACTCAACGATCTGACGGGGTATTGCGCCCGAGGTCCAAAAAAATCCGAGTTCTTGACGACCTACGTGATAGTTTCCTTGAAGGTCCACCTCTTAATGGAATAGCTAGTCACTTAACAAACTGTCATTGTAGCTCCGTAGCCTTTTCATGTATTGAAATTTCAAGGTTAATGCCACATCGTACTTATCCCATTCCACAAAATGTTAAGCAGTTTCAGCGAATCCGTGGCGAAATGCTGGCGCCATCCGAACAAGGAATGGTTCAATTGGGAAATGGTCTAAAGAATGCTAAAGTTGTGAGAAAACAAATTTGCGATGCTGACGTCCAAAAGTGGCGGAATGACGTAAGCATGATTTTGCTTTGTTTTCTTACCATATCGGTGGCCGAAGCTCTTGATGATAGTTCCTCAAGAAGTCATTTATTTCGAAAGATAGGCTGCACATACCATAGGTGCACGGCTACGGTGGTTTGGACCACATGGGTTTCCAACTATACTTTGCGCCGTCTAGTAGGATACATAGGCGGAGTAGATCGTTTCTTGGGATGTTTTGTGCTGAAAAGGAACTAGGAACTTATTTCCCAAAAGGGGGCAATAGAGTGTAGGGCAGCTTTATCTTTCCTGAAAGGGATAGCTTGACAAAATTAGTTTTGTTGTAAAGAAGTGAACTCCACACCTGTCCACGAAAGTGCAGAGTCAGGCATGTCAAGAAGCCGATGAGAAGTAGCTTAGAATACAGAACCTGGCAACACTTGTGCCATTGGATCTCTCTGCACTCCTCCATGAATTCAACTATTCCACTGGATTCAAGAAACTTCCCGAGTACCTTACTCCATTGGCTCATCTAGTAAATATTGCTAGGCGAGGGGAAGGAGGATGGTGCTGATGTGTGTCCACCCTACCTGACGGCCCTTACTAACCGTCCAAGCTTAAGAATAGGAGAAACTTAATCAACCGTTGGGACGTCGGTTCTTTATTCCACATAAGAAAAATCGAATAAGAGTAACTTCAAAGTGCCGTAGTAGTAATTGTAAAACTTGTAAATATTAAGGTATTGTCGGTGAATCGCCCAAGAGTAAATGGCTTGAACCAGCACGAAACAGCCGAAAGTGCACGAGAATATGCGAGGAAGATTGCCGACACGATTCCGAAAACCAATGGATTTCACGCTTTAAGTGGAAGCGACGAAGATGTTGGAAATGTAAGGGCTCATTTGCACTTTTCCTGATCCAGTCCATCTCATCGTTCGGTTTTTCAGCGCAGTGACTCAGCAACAAATTCACTACCATCCCCCTCAAGCGAGCTCATCGTTACGACCAGCCACGAACGAAAGTATTCCGATTATTCTTCTGCTTCTAGTCAAAAATCGCCTACTCCACCCAGCCAGTCATCATTTTCGGACTATCGTTCACAAGCTTCTCCACCAGATTCTCAACGATCGGATAGTCCATTAAAGACGGACGGACTGGCGACCAGAGTCAATGTAAGCAGTGTGCAAGCAGATCGGTTCTCAAGAAGGAGTCCACCGGAGCACCAACTGATGGCGTCACCGAAGCAGAGGGCTGATCTGAGTTTGGCGGAGATACTCAGCCGAAAGCAACAGTTGAATGGCTCTTCTCCTAACTATGCTGTGGGCTTGACGCAGCAGGTTCGACTTACCGACAAGACCATGCCAGCTGGGAAACCGCCAGTGTTCAAGTAAGCTACTACTACTCGAATCGATGTTGATTCCATTTTTAGTTGAATTCCATCGTCTACTAGAGCTACCTATCACAGGTACCTATTTAAGGCCGGCTGGCGATGAACAGAAACGTCAGGTGAGGTGGCGAGAGATCAGTGATGCCTTGGAAGCTCAAGATCAGAAGTTCGAAAAGCTCAGCGAACAATTACGACGGGATCTTGTAGTGGAACAGAAGCATCAAGTCGGTCAGTCCCTCTCCCGTACTTCTATCCGAGCTGGACTGGGCGCTGTGCCACCGAAGTCTTGACTTTTTTCAATTTAATCGTATTTTTGCGTGCTCAGTAATTTAGGGATGGCAGTTCGGCATTACGGTAAGTTGACAAACTGTATCACTGTGTTGTTTTGTCACAGTAAATGGTAGTTAGAACTGAGAAGTCATGCTGTGCATGCTATTTCTCCCCCTGATTCAGTTCAGAACTAGGAATAATAAAAGAGCCCCCAAAGCTAACTGGTTTTCGGTGTTGGAAATAATTTTTCTCCGGTTTTATTATATTTTTTTAGGTTTTTGTGCAAATTGTCGTCTTCCTATGTACGATAATGAGGAACGATATACGGTAAACGACTCTACGTACCACAGAGCTTGCTTCACGTGCGAGGTGTGCGGAAGGGAATTGAGGTACTGTATTTATGGAACTTGTACTTCAGGGTATCTAACCTATTTAATCAGATCCCCCTTCTTCTCGTCACTCAACAGGAATTTTGTGCATATTTGAGCACCCTCGCTCAAGATTTTTAGAAAAGAAATTTGAGAAGGGCACTCTGAGTGGACGTCTATAGGCAGTGATTCAAAGTCTGTTTGAGAAGCTTTTTTCCTGGTCCTTTTTGAGTGGGCTGGCGAAGTGCATCAGGATTCTACACGAAGAAATATTGAAATATTTACTTATTAAAATATGAACACACAGGTGGTCGTGGCGTTCCTATGTACTAGCCCTAAACGACTATTCGGAAACGAAAAGTGGCTTGCTGGTCTCTTCATAGTTCCAGCACCTTTTTTATATCATCATGAAACTCAAGAAGTTTAACCTTATTGGTTGGGGCTTATCCAATGAGCTTGGGAGACCCTGCTATATTAGCGAATACTGTACTGGACTCGATTCAACCACAAAAAAAACGAAGGGAGTCAAAATTATATCTCAGCATGAAAACGCTTTCGTAGCGAACATTCGAATGAAGAGGTGTTGCTGACTTTATAAGCTGATTCTTTGAAATTCTCAAATGAGAACAGCTCGAGTTGTGGTCCGATAATTCCCCCTAAAATCCTTGATTCAGCGAAGAAGGGGGGGGGGGGGGGGGGGGNGGGGGGGGAGAGGGCTGGGAGACATTTCTGATGCTTGTTGGATGGGGGTAGCTCGCATGATCACCTTATCATACCCAAAAAGCAATGAAAGTTGTCCATTACTACCCCATTCCCTGACTACCCACGGCTTCCACCTAAGTCCTTCGCGTTTTCAGGGAACAACAATTCTACCTGAGCGATGGCCGATTCTACTGTAAGCAAGACTACTTATACAATATGGAACGAAAAGTGACACGATGTGCTGAATGCAAACAGCCAATTCAAGAAATGGTAGGCATTTAGCCCAGAGCTCGCCCTCTACCCCGTACAGTAGTGGTTAGTCATTTGATTCAGGTCTTGTCAGCGCTTGGCCGAAATTATCATCCTGCCTGCTTCACTTGCACTGCATGTGGAATGTGCCTCGATGGTATACAGTTCGCTCTCGACAAAAATAACCAGGTCAGTGATACTTGAATTAATTTAGTTGTTTTCCCTGACACCCCTTTTTAAATCATTGCTATATTAGTTTTTGCAGGTTTACTGTCTACCTGATTACCACGATCGTTTTGCACCTCGCTGTCACCGATGCAAAAACGCCATTTTGCCAGATGAGGTAATCAAGTTCTTCAACGAAATTTAGTATTATCACTGAGTCACGAACCAAAAAATCCTAGATCAATTTTCTGTAATATTGCGGTAACAAATTTTACCATCAAAAACCACTTGTCACTAAAATCGGGAACTATCATGAATTGTCCAAATTTTCTCGGGTTTCTTCGAGAATCGAATGCTGAGGAGTTGAAGGGATTCTGTCCCCATCAATACTGTCCCACTTGAATTTCCCCTTTCCTTCCTCAAAATATTTTGAGGTCTAGAGGAACGACAAAACGCAAAAAGAACAAAAAACAAAAACCTAATATCGGGTTGGACAGTCAGGGACCTTTCATTCTCCTTCTCCCACCTTTCATTCCTTTAGACACTCGTTCTCAGGGATATTGGCGGAAGAAGGATATGGCTAGGATAGGGTTACTAATCTGTGATTTTCAATGTTTGAAATATTCATTCCCTTGTTCATTAAAAAACAACGACCTCATAATCTCCGAAAAGGTCGAGTGAGCCGAATAAGATCTCCCTCCAGTGGGGTTGTTTCTTCAAAGGATCCTGCATCGCGAACGTCACGTTACAGTTGTTCTAGTACTAAGTAACCACTATTTTTCGGGGGAGGGGTGAAGAGAGGGAGTGGGGATGGGGAGCAGGGAATTGTTTTTCCTCTGACCCTCCTTTCATTATAATCTGCTTTTTTTCAGAGTACCCATTATAATCTGCTTTTTTTCAGAGTACCGGCGAGACGGTACGAATTGTGGCATTGGACAATAACTATCACCTCGACTGCTATTCCTGTGAGGTAAGAATTTGAGCAACTTCTGAGTTATCTCAATGGAGAGAAAGCTCAGTAAAAGCGACAGCGATAGAGTACAGTGACATCCGGGTGCTTCGTGACAAATCCATAAACATCTACAATCTTTTCCTTGTAGCTTCTCAAATTCCTCAATGTAGACGGTCACTTTGGGAGCATTTTTCAAGCTGTTTGCTCTTCCAGTTAATTCCTTCAGCATAGTATGGCGTTTCGCAGTATTGCCTACAGTACACGCTTCGAAGTACGCCATACTTACTCATTCTCCGAATGGTATTTGTGTTACTTCACGTCCATCATTTTAATCCAGCACCTTTGAGTCTGGATTGTTTCTTTACGCTCATTTTAAAAAAAGGGCGAAATGTTGCTGGTTAAACACGACTATGATCGGTAGGCTCTCCCCTCCAACTGGTTCTGTACCAATGAGAACTGCCTGGGGTTGTGTCATTGAGTGAGGTGCTAGGGGCTCAGACGCTCCATCCACACCCTCCATCCAAGGACCCGCCTCTATGCTGGTGATACTCACCAACTTAAGAGAGGAACCCAGCCTTTTCTGCCACCAAGTCCTGTCGGTTTTTGCATAGCCTTTTTAATGAAGTTCCATTCTCTTTGTCTCCTTTATATGTTCATTAACATTCGGTTTCACTCATGAATCTTTCGGACCTTATTCATGTCACTCAGTGAGTCTCCAGGCTCCTCTTCGCCCCTCTCATCATTCTTACGGATTTCTCTGGCTCTTCTATATATTTCTCCCTTTTTACTTCCATCCTTCCCTGTTCGTAGTCATCTGACCTTCTGACCAAGCCTCTCCTTCTCTTCTTCGGTCGTACCGGGGCTTATGCCGTTTGTTGAGGACTTCATTGTTTGCACACACACTGGTTTAGGATCAACAAGAATTATTAGCGGAGTCTATGCGGAGAAATTAATCTATTTAGTGAAAGTTGTCAGTGTTTTCTAAACGGAGCGTAATTTTAAGGGATGCGGCCTGAAATTGACAGACGAAGGAGATGCATGCTGTTACCCACTCGATAAGCATCTTCTCTGTGAAAAATGTCATCT